CTTAAGTCCCACCCCTTTTTATTTTACATGAGCCTAGTATATAGCGTATCTTTTTTTTTATTTCTTTATTGAACAAATGTAGGTTATAAACCCAAGAAAGGAACAGTATACATACCTAGTACATAGCACAGCTAAGTATATGGCCAGTTACCCTACAGGCTAGTACAGTCATATGTTTGCAGGAGATTTATAGTTCCTACCCTCAGATGCAAGCCGATAATCAGTGCACAAACAGAGACTACTGACTACTGAGACTACTGTTCTAGGTTCCTAATGTTCTACACTACCATTACTGTCACTGTACAACAGTGGGCTCTGTGTTCCCACATTCTCCGGGGTTTTACTCCATCATGACTTACTGCAGTGGGCTGTCTTGTTGGCGAGTTGTCACTACAGGAGCAGCTGTGGCTAAGTGTGTCTCTGAAGATGTCCAACAGCGGCCAGTGCTGCCGCCTGGTCAGAGTCCGAGGCAGAGACTGAACGTCAAGAGTGGCAGCAGGTGGAGAAAAAGGCAACGCAGCAGTTAGGGACCAGTCGCTGTTGGCTAGCAGAGGTGTGGACTCGAATCACACCACTTGGACTCGAGTCAGAAATCTGATGAGTTTAGACTCGACTTGACCAATGACTTGTGAATTCACTTGGACTTGAGTCTTTTAATGGAGCTATTATTGTAGCAAAACTATTTACAAATGTGTGTGGAACGTTGTGTAACTATCTCAATCTGTGTGTGTGTAATCAGATCTGTGAATGTGTAAAATAATCTGTAAATATATACTGAGATTTGTGAATGTGTACAGGAATCTGCAAATGTATGTTTAGAATTTGTGTGTGCATAATCAGATTTGTAAATGTGTAAAAAATCTATAAATATGTATTCAGATTTGCAAGTGTAAGGATATTTGTACACGTGTGGACAAATCTGTAAATGTGTGGACAAATCATCGGTTACAACTCAGGCGGGACTCTCAGTCTTTTTACACGTGACTTTTGCTACTGTGCCTCAGTAGCCACAACCACTTCTGTCTGACGAAGGCCCTGAGGTCATAAGTAACGAACAGTAGTTTCAGCTCCGGTGGGCCAGGAGCCAAACCCGGCAAGAAAACCAACTCGGCTTCCCTGTCGTCAGACTGGTCTCCATCAGTCCCAGGTCGGCGGCATTCACACTGAGCTCAGCTAGCTCCAGTACCCAGCTAATGCTATCTGTCCACCAGTAAACTAATCACAGAGAGATGAGCGAGCAGAGAGGAGCCTTCTCTCATCTCATCTCTCCGGCTCGGAGGGAAAACCAGATAATAATTTCTCCATGAAATATCATCCACTTTCACCAAAATCAGTGAATAAAGTTTAAAGTTGTGTGTTTGTACCATTGACAGTAACTATAATGTAAGTACCGTATTTTCCGGACTATAA